GAATTGAGAATGTGCAGTTAGGTTGCAATGTACTGTACATGATTACCTTTATACAATGAGGTGTTTCAAAACAGTGCAAATCAATGTGTTATATCAGATAGACACTGGACATACACAGATGGTTTTGAACGTTTTCATGTAGTAAGCAGCCTAACCATAAAACAATCACACACACACATTTGTTGGGTCTGATTCATAAAACACACACACACACACACACACACACACACACACACACACACACACACACACACACACACACACTTTGTTTCCACCTTATATCTGTAAGCAATCAAATTTACTTTTGACTGCAGTTGCAGATTTATTTAATTTGGTCCAAGTTTCTACCAGCTTTGGGTCTTGCAATTTTTTCACATTCTCTTGGCAAATTTGCTTTAGCTCTGTTAGGTCACATCTGACACTGCTGGTGAATAGAAATTTTCATGCCTTGCCACAGAATCTCAATTGGATTAGGGTCTGGACATTGACTGGGATATTCAAACACATTTGTTTTCTTAGTTTAAACTGAAGTGTAGCTGTCAGGAACCATCGTGACGCATGGGTCTACACATGCGTAGGTGTCTGCCGAGACGTATAGGTGGCAGGGCACTAGGACCCAGGCGCACCCGTCGTCTGGACAGTACTAGGCAGGCACTGGGACCCAGGCTATTTAAACTAGCCCTGCACAGACACTTGTTGCCGAATGGTCTTTGTATCCTGTTACCTGTGTGTGAGTACTTCTGATCTGGATTGTTTTGACCTTGTTGCCTTCTCCCGTCCTGACCCCTTGGCTTGCCTGACTCTGCTCTTGGATGTTCCGGTTTAGATCTGACCTCCTGGTATTGACCCTGCGTGTGACCCGACTATCCTTTGCCTACCGTTTTGTACCTTACCGATCCGCTAGTTACCGACCCGACCTGCATGACTCTGATTTAGCTTTACATCAGATCTCAATGGCAAAAAAAATATTATGCTGGATATCTATACTGATATTGTAACGGACCGCCTGACAGCACCTCTATCAGTCCCCCGGTAGAGCCTCCCCAGAGTGCGGAGTCTAAGCACCGGAGCACTTGTTCACCAGGGCCCCTGATGGTGGGGATGGACTTGGAGCGCTCCGGTACCAGGTATCTCCAACAGGGGTAGAGGAGTCTGACAGGGGCTCCAGAGAGCTAGGAGTCTGATGTAAGGAAGCCTAGTGATCCCTGCGGGGTGGGTGGATGGATGAGCTAAATCAGAGTCATGCAGGCCGGGTCGGTAACTAGCAGATTGGTAAGGTACAAAACGGTAGGCAAAGGATAGTCGGGTCACACGCAGGGTCAATACTAGAAGGTCAGATCTCAACGGGAACATCCAAGAGCAGAGTCAGGCAAGCCAAGGGGTCAGGACGGGAAAAGGCAACAAGGTCAAAACAATCCAGATCAGAAGTACTCACACACAGGTAACAGGATACAAAGACCATTCGGCCACAAGTGTCTGTGCAGGGCTAATTTAAATAGCCCGCCCTGCACCTGACAGGCATAGCCTGGGTCCCAGTGCCTGCCTAGTACTGTCCAGATGACAGGTGCGCCTGGGTCCTAGTGCCCTGCCACCTATACGTCTCGGCAAGCACCTACGCATGTGTAGACCCATGAGTCACGATGGTTCCTGACAGTAGCTTTGATAGTAAGTTTACAGTGGTTCCAAAGCTAAAATGTTTTTTACCTTTCCCTGCAGTATGGTAAAAAATGTTTTAGGAGTTGCTGTTCCCCCTTTCCCCTCTAAATACTTTCCTTACTCCTAGATCGAGCCAGCTCTTTTTCTGGCTACAGTCTTCTCTCCTCTTCACACAGAGATTGACAGGCATCAGCAGGAGTGAGCAAGGCCAAGCAATGCTGTGTGTGTCAATAGATGCACACAGCCCTGCTTGAGAGCAAGTCAGTACGAGTGCCCCCATAGCAAGCAGTTTGCTATGGAGGGAATCAGAGAAGAGCAGGAGCCTAGAGCACTGGCAGGGGGCCCAGAAGAGTAAGTTCAGGGCCACTCTGTGCAATACCATTGCACTGGGCAGGTAAGTATAACATGTTTGTTATTTTAGGGGGAAAAAAGGCCTTCAGAACCACTTTAAGATTATTGTCCTGCTGGAAGGGAACCATCTGCCCCAGCCTTAGGTATTCTGTAAATTGAAGAATGTTTTCTTCTAGAATTTTTAGTTTCATCAGACTATAGAACCTTTACACACATTTTCTGTCTGTACCACAATTGTTTTAGAAAATTCATTAATTGTGAATTTCCCACTCTTCCATAAAGCCTCTGAGGTTTTTAGTTCTGTGGATAGTTTCTCTCATCTCAGCTATGGATATCTGCAAACTCCCTCAGAGTTACCAATGTTCTCTTGGTTGTGTCTTTGAATAACGCCCATCTTACTTTGGTGTCCGTTTATGACACATAGAATAGCTGAGATTCAACAGATCTCAGCTATTCTCTGGTCATTCTCAGTTTATGACACTCAGGAGATCATGTCAGCCCTTCTCTGGAGATCTGTGTTCTCCCTCCAGATTCTCCAGCCCAGAGCTGGAGAATCAGAGGGACCGAAAACTAAGCAGAGATAGTTTACCTCTGTTTAGTAAACTGATCTATTACTATAATCTCGAGAGATTATAGTAAAATGAGCCGTTTTTCAGAGTTTGTAGACCGTTCTCCAGCGTTTGGAGACCATTCTCCCTTCGTTCGGAGAACTGCTTCATAAACTGCATTCACAGGAGAACTGTGTTCTCCGAGAATGCCGGAGAACTGAGCAGCGATCTATTACCGCTGGTCCATAAATGGACACCTATGATCACTGACTTTTGGTGAATAGTCTTCTTTAGGCAAGATACCAGCTGTGTTGAAGTCTCTTTTGTTTAATCATTGTTTTAATGGTGTTCTGGGACATAAGCAAAGTTTGGTATTTTTTTAATAACTCAGCCTTAGTAGTGGTCATCCAGAACTGCATTCCTAAATTGTTGTAATAGTGCCTTGATTTAACTGCACATAGGTGGATTCCTTTCGGCTAATTATGTGACTTCTGAATGTAGCAGAGATAACTAAGGAGGTGAATATTTATGCAACAAAGACATTTCAGTTTTTTACTTGTAAAGAATTCAGAAAGCTTTGTGTGGTTTTTTCTTCATGTTGACATAAAAGACTAAAAAATACATAAAAATGGACATTTAATCTCTCCTAATTTTATTTTATTTTCTTGTTGTACCACTAAAAGGCATAGAAGATTACAAAGAACGATGAATCTTCATTGAAAGCACTGCTTGGTGATTGATGGTTTTATGCTGTGTTATTTCTCCAGATCTGTGATTCTTTTTGTGGGATGTGCATAATTTTCTCAATGCTGCAATCAAATAAAGCATTTGAAAAAGTATTGTCTATTGTTATAGTACAACTTTCACAAACCCAGTAGATCCTTTATTTTATTATTCAATTTTATCAGAGATTATCAGCCCAAGGACTAAATATCAAACATTTGTAAGGCTTATTTCAAGTTCCCTGTTCTTGTCCATTGCTCATTACACAGACCAATGAATCCCTATTATTCACAGGAGATTGACTACAAAATGCTAATGAGATTTGTGCAGAGAAAGTTGATAAGAAACAATTCTTATCACTGAGCTCATAGCTCATTTGTAATAGAGTAGAATAAAAATCTGCCAATGACATGACTTAGTCCATAGTGTTGTTTCTAGGAATTTTACCTCCCAAGTCAATCCATTTCTATATCCTTTGCCTACAATTTTAGCTCTGATGTGTGACACACAGGCTGGATGCCCATAGTGAGTTATAGCAACAATTTTCACTCTGGCTGAAATTCTTCTTTAATGTCATAATAAATTTCCTGAAATAATTTTCTCATTAGCAGACACAGCTAGAAAACACAGCCTCGCAGCAGGTAATTGTATTGCTTCCTGGGGAAGTAAAATGATCTGGAATACTACAGCTTTCAAAGGCATTAGTTCATCTAATGACAAACAACTGACAAAAGATATTAATTATGGTAGGGTACCCTATATTACTGCAGTAAGATAGAATGTGTCTTAGTGTGTTTTATTTTTTTTTTTGTGGGTACACCTTCAGAATATAACTGAGGATAACTGTGTTCTCTAGTAGTACAATGTATCCTTGTTTGGAAAATAATTCAATAAATAATGCAGTTTATGCTGTAACTATGTATTCAGTTTTTCTCACCGTAGGCAATTTTCTGCACAACACACTTTCTGTTATTTTTAATAGGGCAGGTGGGTAATGAAAGTAGTAATTAAAGAGCACCTGTGCTTTAGTAAGAAACAAATTGCCAGGAAGGGGGGGAAATCAGGTATGGGGGTGCATACATGCCCCTTGTACATGTGCAGTTGTGGGGGGGGGGGGGGGAATGCCTTGGTTACTTATGATTGCTGGTTCAATATTGAGTTGGCCCAACCTTTGCAGCTATAACAGCTTCAACTCTTCTGGGAAGGCTGTCCTCAAGGTTCAGGAGTGTGTCTATGGGAATGTTTGACCATTCTTCCAGAAGGGCATTTGTGAGTTCAGGCACTGATGTCAGACAAGAAAGCCTGGCTTGTAGTCCCAACTCTAATTAATCTAAAAGGTGTTCACCCCAAACTCATTCATCCATGTCTTTATGGACCTTGCCTTCTGCACTGGTGCGCAGTCATTTTGGAACAGGAAAGGGCCATCCCCAAACTGTTCCTACAAATTTGGGAGCATGTAATTGTAAAAAATGTCTTGGTATGCTGACATCTTAACTACCTGCCGACCGCAGATAGCCGAATGACGGCTTCACTGCGGCCGGCCAGTTCTGAGTGGACGTCATATGACGTCCTCCCAGAACGCGCTCTCCTGCGCGCCCCAGGGGGCGCGCACCCGGCGATCTCCATGATCGCTGTGTCCTACGGACACAGCTGATCACGTGATGTGGTAAAAGGCCAATCACAGCGGCCTTTTACCACCTGATCAGCGGTGTCCAATGACACGCTGATCAGAGGGAAATGCAAGTGCCGGTTCTCGGCTGCACTTTCCTCACGCTGTCAGATCGTGAGGAAAGTACTGCCGAGAACCGACAGTTGTCAGAACGGGGATCGGCACCGATCATCAGGGCACTGATGATCAGTGCCCTGATGATCGGTGCCCAGCAGTGCCACCCGCAAGTTCCGCCCACCTGTGCCCAGCAGTGCGCCCACTAGCTCTGCCCACCTGTGCCCAGCAGATCACCCATCTGTGCCCAGCAGTGCACCCACCTGTGCCACTCTGCAGTGCCACCACCTGTGCCCAGAAGTGCCACCTACATGTGCCCAGCAGTGCCACCCACCTGTGCCCACCCACCTGTGCCCACCCACCAGTGCTGCCCACCCACCAGTGCCGCCCACCAGTGCAGCCCACCAGTGCTGCCAGTCAGTGCCACCAGTCAGTGCCCAGGGGTTGTGCCAGTCAGTGCCGCCAGTCAGTGCCCAGCAGTGATGCCAGTCAGTGCCGTCTATCAGTACCCATCATCAGTGTCACCTATCAGTGCCGCCTATCAGTGCTGCATATTAGTGCCGCCTATCCGTGACACCTCATTAGTGTCTGTCTATCAGTGCCCTTTAGTGCTGCCTATCAGTGCCCATCAGTGCTGCCTATCAGTGCCCATCAGTGCTGCCTCATCAACGCCCATCAGTGAAGGAGAAAAAATGCCTGTTTGAAAAATTTTTATAATAGAAACAAAGAAACTTTTTTTTTTTCAAATTTTTTGCACTTTATTTATAGCGCAAAAAGTAAAGCACCCAGTGGCGATTAAATACCACTGAAAGAAAGCTCTATTTGTGAGAAAAAAATGATCAAAATTTCATATGGGTACAATGTTGCATAACCGTGCAATTGTCAAAGTGCGGCAGCGCTGAAAGCTGAAAATTGGCCTGGTAAATAAGGGGGTATAAGTGCCCGGTAGGCAAGTGGTTAAGAGTTCCCTTCACTGGAATGAAAGAGCCAAGCCCAACCCCTGAAAAAAAAAAAAACCCACACCAAAATCCCCCCTCCACCAAACTTTACACTTGGCACAATGCAGTCAGGCAAGTACCGTTCTCTTGGAAACCACCAAACCCAGACATGTCCATCAGTTTGCCAAACAGAGAAGTGTGAATCGTCCCTCCAGAGAGCACGTCTTCACAGCTCTAGAGTACAGTGGCGAAGTGCTTTACACCACTGCATCCGATGCTTTGATTGCACTTTGTGACATAAGGCTTGGATGCAGCTGCTCGACCATGGAAACCCATTCTATGAAGTTCTCTATGCACTGTTGTTGTGCTATGCTGAAGGCCATATGGAGGTCTTTAGCTATTGAGTCTGCCGACAGTTGGTGACGTCTGTGCACTGTGTGCTTCATCATGTGCTGACCCCACTCTGTCATTTTACGTGGCCTACCACATTGTGGCTGAGTTGATGTTGTTCCCAGTTGCTTCCACTTTGTTATAATACCACTAACAGTTGGCCATGGAATATTTGATATCTGATGGGGGGGGGGGGCACAGTCACTGATGGGGTGCTGCATTTGCGTGAGTGCTGCGTTGATGGAGTGCTAAGAAGCAGTTAAACACAGCAATCTAATCATGCCTTCTCTGCTTTTCACAGGTAAATGATCCTATCTTCACTCCACTCTTAACTACAATAACGCATTGACTGCTGCTTTCACTGGGTAAATGCTCAGATCTTCACTCCACTCTTAACTACAATAATGCATTGACTGCTGCTTTCTTGTTAACAATTTTTATTGATTTTCACACACACACACACACACACACGCAAAAAACACACACGCAAAAAACAACACAGGAGAAAGAAGGAGCACATCGATGGTGAGGTCTGCATGGTTAAAAACATAATAATGTCATATAGCTACAATGGGGAGGCCATCAGAACTGTACATTTGTAGAAAGGTGGGAGTAGGAGTAATTGTCCCATGGGTGCCACACTGCCCTGAACACAGCAGTCGAACAGGCATGTTTAGCTGTCAGGTACTACATCTGTCTCACATCAGCAATAATTTTAAACAGCATTGACATCGAAGGAGGTATAGCGGATAGCCAACACATAGTAATGCTTCTTCTGTCCGCAGTCAGAATATGTGTGGAGAGTTTCCTGGCCATTCTGGGAAGACCTGGGAATGGCAGGCTCAGTAAAAAATATAGAGGCTCAGAAGGGAGAGAGGTATGCAAGAACAATTGTAAAAAAGACAAAACCTCTTCCCAAAAAGGGACAATGGATACACAAGTCCAAAAAATATGGAAGAGGGAGCCAAAATCTTTCCCACAACGCCAGCAAGCGATAGAAGCATTCGGATTAAAGGCATGGATAACCTCGGGAGTTTTGTACCATAACATCAAAATTTTGTATGTGTTTTCTTTATAAACCACACAGACAGAAGATTGCTTCAGAAAGGAGTCCGCCTCTAAAAGATCACGAAGAGTAACTGGAGACGACCAGCTTGAAGTGGAAACCCCAGCGATAGGGGACACGGTGATGTTAAAGATGCGTGGTAATTGGCTTCAGCGCCCGCCGGTTGGCCAGGGTAATCGGAGAGAGATCACAAAAGAGCTGGAGCCTGTCCCCTTTAAAATCCAGGGAAGGGTTGTTGCATACGGAAGCTAACAATGCTTCCTTGCTCTCACAAAAATGAAAGCAGACGATGACATCACGCGGTCTGGTGCCGTCAGCAGGTCTGGGGCCTAGTGATCGGTGGGCCCTGTCCAGGTGCCAATCCGCTTCTGGGACCATGGGGGCAGTTGCGGTGAACAAAGACAGGAGATGTCAGTGAAGTTGGGAATTGGAACAGATTCGGATATACCACGAATACGGATGTTCTGCCGGCGTTCCGTTTTTTAAATCCCTTGTTGGAGCTGAATTTGAGACATGTTGTGTTTCAGATACGCGTTGTCTTCTTCTAAGACATGGATGTATTGCACCAATTCATTTAATTTATTCTCCAATTGGTCTGCACGATCTCCAATCTGGGCTATTTCCCCATGAAGATCCAAAGCCAATTTTCCCACTTCAGCGGATATAGAGGCGGTAATATTGCGTAAAAATACATGCAATTTTTCCTCCAGTGAAGATACCGTGAGAGCAGGTGAAACAAGCGGATTGGCAGGAGCAGTGGGAGGCAGATTCAGTGCAGGTCGCTCTGTCGCCTCTTCTACAAGGGTCAGGGGTTCGGATTCCTCCATCTGGGAAGCAGGAGAAGGTGAGGAGGTTGGCTGTATTGTATGAGCAGGAGGAGCAGGTGTAGTACCTCCGGCTGCCACTGGGGGTCCGGAGCTCGTTCCCGGGATTGCGGACGAAATTGAGGCTGAGGATTGCGGCCTATGTAAAAACAGCTGCAGCGGGGAGGGCCGCGGATCACGTGGCGGCGGGGAAGGGGGCTTCCAGTGCCCAATTTTGACCATTATCACTGGGCATCATGCTGAGCTGGGTGCCTAGCTTGTGTGACTCACCCAGGGATGCTTATAGGACAGAGGTGCACCGTGGGTGAGTCTCTGATGCCGGGGAATGAGCGGAGCTCAATGGGATGTGGTTGTCTTCATCCCTGGCCGCGCATGCACCCTTGACTGCTGCTTTCACTGGGTAAATGCTCCTATCGTCACTCCACTAACTATAACAATGCATTGACTCCTCTTAATTTCACAACAACTAGTGTATATATATTCTTGTATATGTTGTCTCTCTGATCACAATCTTATCACCTTCACAGTGTCCTCGTCTTCAAACACCTATCCCGCCAAGCGGCAAACAATTACCCACAGAAACCTTTACAACTTGAACCCTTCTCCTTTCCACTCTGCAACTGACCAACTCTATGACAGAATCTCTCCCCTGTACTGCCCTGACCTGGCTACTGCTGTCTACAACAGTTCGCTTTCATCCGCATTAGACTCGCTTCCTCCCTTCATGCTGCTAAACAAGACTACTTTGTGACTCTTATTAATACCTTGTCACCCAGTCCTCGTCGTCTCTTCTCTACTTTTAACTCTCTACTTTCTCCACCTCCACCCAGTACCTCACTCACTGCTCACGAGATTGCAAATAATTTCAAAAACAAGACTGACACAATTCGTAGGGGCATCACCACTGCACAGACATCCATCCCAGTTAGCACACCATATACTAAACCTCCCTCAACACTTTCCTCTTTTGACCTTGCTACTACTGAAGAGGTCACTAAAGTTTTCTCGGAAGCCCATCTCACTACCTGCCCCCTGGATCCTGTCCCCTCACAACTACCATGGTCACCCTCTCCTTCCATCCTATGCTCCCTCACTCGCATCTTCAATCTTTCCCTCTCTAACGGTGCCTTCCCCTCCCCTCTAAAGCATGCGCACATCACTCCCATACTTAAAATTTGTATGTCATCAACATCTCTATGTTGATGACATACAAATCTATCTTTCTACTCCTCACCTCACCCCTTCAGTCTCCTCTCGCATTACTAACCTACTAAGTGACATATCGGCATGGATGTCACTTCACTTCCTCAAACTCAATCTTTCCAAAACTGAGCTCTTAGTATTCCCCCCAGCCCGCCCCCCCCCCCCCCCCACTGACTTCCCCATCAAGATCAATAACACAATCATCATTCCCTCCCCTCATGCCAGGGTACTAGGTGTACTCCTAGACTCCCATCTGTCCTTTCACCCCCAAATCCAATCACTGTCCAAATCTTGTAGACTTCACCTCCGCAACATCTCCAAGATACGCCCATTCCTAACCTCGTAAACCACTAAGCTACTTATTCACTCCTTTGTTATATCTCACCTTGACTATTGTAACTCCCTCCTCATTGGCCTACCTCATCGCAGGCTATCCCCTCTTCAGTCTATCATGAATGCTGCTGCCAGACTCATCCACCTTACTAACCGTTCTGTATCTGCCACCCCTCTCTGCCAATCCCTTCACTGGCTTTCCATTGCCCAACGGATAAAATTCAAAACATTAACAATAACGTATAAAGCCATTTATAACTCTGCCCCAAATTACATCAACGATCTTGTCTCTAAATATCACCCAAACTGCACTCTCCGCTCCTCGCAAGACCTCCTGCTGTCTAGCTCCCTTGTCTCCTCCTCCCATGCTCGTCTCCAGGACTTCTCCAGAGCTTCCCCCATCCTCTGTAACTCTCTACCCCAATTTATCAGACTATCGCCTACTCTGCTCACTTTTAGGCAATCTCAGCTAATAATGGAATCTTCTACTCTTCCAACCAGTCCATCCCCCACAGTTACTACCTTTTGTACCACTAGCCCCTCCATCCTAGATTGTAAGCTCCAAGGAGCAGGGCCCACCTTTCCCTCTTGTATTGAACTGTATTGTTGCTGTATTGTCTCCCGTTATATTGTAAAGCGCTGAGCAAACTGTTGGCGCTATATAAATCCTGTATAAAAAAATAATAATAATAATATTTAGTAACAAGGAAATTTCACGGATGGACGTAGAGCTCAGATGATAACCTATCACAGTACCACGCTTGAATTCACTGAGCTCCTGAGAGCAACCCATTCTTTCACAAATGTTTGTAGAAGCAGTCTGCATGCCTAGGTGCTTGATTTTATACACCTGTATCCATGAAGGTGATTGGCCATTGGAGGGGTGTCCCAATACTTTTGGCAATATAGTATATATACACTGCTCAAAAAAATTAAAGGAACACTTTTTA